TTAATAGAGGGATCAGAACTGTTTGAAAAAGTAATTATAATACCTAATATATAAACTTTATCATCTTTAAGGAAAAAATTTAAAAGAAAAATATGCTTAAATTACAGGTAAATTTGTAGTAGGTTACTATCCTATAAAATAGTAGTAGTATGGAAGAAGGCATTCCCTATTAATACAGCAATTTTCTATTTTGCCTCTACATACTTTGCACTCAAAAACCAGCAACTGAAAGCCCTGCTGGTGTGTGTGGAGGCTAAGGGTTCAGTTTCCTGCAGGCCGCCCAGAGGGGACGCCGAAAGGCAACCATACATTGATGTTTCTCTCCCTCTCTCCTTCCCTTCCCCTAGATTTTTATTTAAAAAAAAAAAACCAGCAACTGAGTTTCCCAAGCAAAACTAAACGTAGCCCCTTGGTGAAATTCTGCTGGAATTCTTGTTTAATATGAGGTCGCATGAACTATTGATGAAAAATGCCTACAAAGACTATTTCCCCCTGTCCAATGGATCATTCCAGGGAAACCTGAACTATCTCAAGAAAAGTATGTAAGTTAGACTTCTTGCAATATGGAAATGTAATATATGGGGGGGTTAATTTTACCAATCCACACATATTACCCTTTTACATTGTAAAGGGAATTCTAAACACAACAAATTGTCATTGTGGATAAAGTATAAAGAATTCTATTATGCTTAGTATTACGAAAGAGGAATGGGAAGGTTTGACTAGTTAAGCACATTTGGCAACTCACACCTTTGAGTATTAACTATTCAGAGAAACCGTTTTCAGGAATTTCTTCAAGAGCCATTCTCATTCCACAGTGAGAGTCCAGAGTCAGATTCGTGACTTCAAAAATGTTGTGGCATTGCCATAACGTGTCAATACAGGAGCTGATCTTGCTTATTTTCACATATTATTCAAAGGTCAGAAAATAACTCAGAAACTGCATATGGGCATTTAAGGAGAATACAACAATAACATTAGTTATGGTGCCCTTATCCCCTGCAATCATAGAAAGAATAACCACTGACGTTTGTTAAAAACAATATTCGAGTGATTGAATTTCCATTACTTGGCATTCTTCTCGGTTATCAGTCATTTTAGGACTGGGTGGGAAAAGCAACCTGAAAACAGCATCAACTAAAATCTTTTGACTGTCTGGAATTTACATTAAGTGCGATCCATCCAAAAGCCAGCCAATCTTTGCTATGTTATAAGTCTCTTTTATGTAAGTGCAGTATACCTTATGTTAAACAGTAGTTGCATTGAAAGAAAACCCAATATTAATAACCATTTTAATAGACTTAAGCCAAAGAGCATTGTTCGTTGAGATGGGTATATGCTAAATTTTAATCACTTAATGCATGTTAAGGCCTATGCTATAATGTTCTCCAGAATTCTTAGAAAACAACGGATTTTATCTTTTCAAATACATCAAAACTATGGACTATTTTCCCATGAGCAGGATTAAAACTTTTCTGTCATAGATTATTAAAAGGAATGTAATCGTTGTGTTGCCAAGAGTCCAAGTCACCTTGGAAGATTCTCCCCTACTGAGCCTTTTGAATTTACGTCTCTGCATTTAGTCAGCACGGAATCATCCCTAACTGCCTAGCATCAGATAAATGAATTAAAGCTCAGGCATGGTTGCATGTTAGTAAGCATCTTTTTTAAAAGGTTTAATCTTTATTGTGTTTTTCCCATTACCATTGAGCCCCTTCACACTCCCCTCCCCCCTGCAATCACCACCCTGTTGTCTGTGTCTGTGAGTCCTTTACCCTTTTCGCTCCATCCCTCCACCCCCAGACCTCCCCCTCCACTAGCTGTCACCTGCTCTCCACCTAAGCACAGTGTGACAGGTGAGGACTGACAGTCCCACTGTGAGAGGAAAACCTGACAAAAAACACAACAGTGGCAGATACGTGGGAGGCTGACTTGTAGCCTCTCAAACAATTTTATCAGCATGCCAATCTGATTTTAGGGTACAATCCTCAGACAGTTAGGAAATGGTGAGGGTTTTGCAGGAAAAGCTTGTGGTCTGAGCCTCAATTGTCTCCTCTCAGGTGATTAACTGGTTGGGTGATTGGTCTATTGGTTGGTCACTGACTCTCTGCTATACTTTAAAAAAGGCTCTTTCTAATTTTCTATTCTACTACTGTTTTTCACAATAAAAATCCCTCCATCCACTCCCGACCCACAGGCCAAAAACCAATCGAAGATGTGGTTCTCAGTGTTGGATATATATATGTATATGTATGTATGTATGTATATATATAACTATATATATATATACAATTGGCATGACCTGGAACCTTTAAAAGCCCAGTGCCCAGGTTGCCCCCTAGATCAACTAAATCCAACCTCTGCAGGTGGGACCCATCATCCCCATGGTTTAAAGCTTTCTGGGTTATTCCATTGTATATTCAGGGTTGAAAGGCACTTTTTCCATAAATTATGTTAGAGGCTTTGAGTGATGTTAATTGTAAGATGAAAACTGTCCATAAAGAGACATTTTCCCCTCTATTTGCTTCCTAAAACTTACACATCCCAATATACAAATGTCCTTGCCATACAATTATGGCTCGACAGAAGTTATTTCTGAAGAGCTACTGTGGCATCCGTTTTGTTCAGGACACTCCTTATTTCACATGACAGTTACTACCATTGGATACTGCTGTGGACATGACCAGCTACCCAAGCCAGCATGACCGATGGCTTTTTAGGGACAACAGACCAAAACCTCAGTCATGCTGCTGAACCGTGTGTAGAGGAGAGAACTTTGACCTCTGGTTGTACTGAGCACCGAAGTCTTGTCCCCTCCACAGAACCAAAGGACCAGGGCATGACTGGGATTTGAACACAGGAACCCTTTCAGAGTAGAAGGGTCCATTGCCCAGAGAGGTCAGTGCTGATGCCGTTTCCCCTGACTTAGCAAAAATGACCATGTTCCAAAGTTCCCCAACCCACACCTTCCCCACCAACACTCCCACGTACCAGCTGGTTTCCACCAACCCCTTAAAACTTGCCTTGAGCCCCAGCCCAGGGGGCTCTGCCTTGAATTTGAGCTCTGCCTCCTGACTCCTTGAGGGCCACCTTAGCTGTAGAAGCTTTTTCTTTTCTCAGAAGCTGGTGTCATAGTGCTGGATCCTGTCTGCCCCAGGCCTTGCTCCAAACTCTGACCACTCACGAGGACTTTTAAATACAAATTCTGGAAGAGTGGTTCTGATCAGGTTAAAACTCCCTAGCATTCTGTCTAATACGGTGAAGAACACAATTTAAAAAGTGAATTCTGCACCCTCCCTTCTCCTCCTCCAGTTTTTTCTTGTTTAATGTTGATGGCTTCACTTGATGTTGGTTATGGCTGCTTTTAAAAATAATTAAACTAAAATAGGTCTGTCAACACTTCATATTTTAAAATAATTTATTCAAGTGTTGTAAATACACATAGTTTTCCAATGTAATTGAAGTGTTTTAGGAGTAAATTGGTTAAACTTTAAAAATTTTTTCTTATAATAAAAAAAAATAAGTGAATACAGATCTGTAATAAAGGTTTCAACCGCTATTACAATATGGGAAATTTCTTACTATATATTTTACTGTTCCTACTCTTTTAGATGATTTCTTCATAATTTCCATATTTTACTCCTAATCAAGATGTCTGTCTTGGAATATGTTACGGGTATCATTCATCTAATTTCTACTTAGATGATTCTGTCTTCATAGGTCTGGGTGTGCCCAGCATCTATATTCTTTCCAGCCCCCTCAGGTCATTCAAATGGATAGACAATGCTGAGACCCACTGCCCTGAGCCTTGGGTAGAAATTGCAGTCTGAGGGAATGGTTTCTTCAGCCAATAAGAATAGATAGATAGATAGATAGATAGATAGAGAGATAGAGAGATAGATAATTAGCTTCTCTGAGTGTTTTTAATAGATAAATATTGATAAGTGTACGTATATCAGACTGAAAGCCAGAAAATTTTTAAAATATTTAAAAATGCCCTGGCCAAGTAGCTCAGTTGGTTAGAGCATCATGGTCCCCACACACCCACCAAGGTTGTGGGTTTGATCTCCGGTCAGGGCATGTACAAGAAACAACCAATGAATGCATCAATGTCTCTCTCTCTTATATGAATAAATTTATATACATATTTTTAATGTTTGGAGAGAGGATGCTCAGTGTGGTATCTGATGTGCTCCAGACCTATGTCTGGTCTTCCATTTTCTTCTATTTTAAATGAGAACCATATTTCCACCTTACTTTTCTCTTCATGAGAAATGGTAACTATGGGGTGGTGTTTCATCAGAACAGGCCTGGGTTGAAACAGAACAGAAAATGGGACAGGCTTCCGGCAGGAACTGAACTGCTCTGTCCAGTGCCCATCAGCAGGGCTACGTCAACCCTGCTGGCGATAACCCTTCCCACACGAGCGTAGGTCTGAGGCAAGAAGAGTGAGTGGGGGTCAGAAATGGAAACCTACACCAGGACTTCAGTTTCAACTCACGGTTCAGGATTGGGGTCCAGTGTGGACCACGTCAGACAGGCATTTCAGACAAAAATATAGTAACTTGACATATTGCGTTGAAAGAAATCATAGTGCTCAATCATCTTCAAATTATTTACCTAATAATTATTTTTTCAGGTGTCAGTGCACTTTTATTGGGAGGTTTTATTTGCTGAGAAATACACTGGAACTTGGAGAGAACACGTCCACTTTGAAAGATGAGTTTCCCACCACCACGAGAGAAAGGCGTGGCGCAGGGCACGCTGGTGTTGGGTCCGTGTTCCCACCTCCCTGTGCTTTGCTCCCATTTCTTCTCATTTAGCAAGTACCAGAGAGTAATAATAACACAAAGACAAGAAAAAAAACAACCCAGCAAGATCAACCTCCAACCAAGCCACACCCAAGCCCTCTCCCTCCACTCCCCAGGCTACACCAGGGCAGGGAGGGTCAGATCTCTGCAACTCAGTTCTGAGCCTCTGCCTTTGTCACAGTGACTCACCCAGATGTTCCCGTCTTGATGATAGGGTTTCCAGTTCCTCCCAGTGTCGCTGTAGAGCATGCGGTACTGGGTCACCCAGTCGGAGCTGCTGTATCTTCCTTGGGTTGCGATGGCGCTGATCTGCTTCCGATTGCCAAAGTCAACCTGAAGCCATTGATAATGGTCGCTGTCAGATGGAGACCATCCACCGGCACCTGAGCAAGGAAGAGGCAAAGGGGAAAACAGATATTTAAACTTCTATAATAGACAGAGGGTTATTTTCCATCTTTTACTTGGCCTTGGCAGGGCTGTATTTCACATAGATATTATGAAATGTCCTTTACAGATGCCCCTGGGACTTCAACTAATATCCCTCCAGCTGGGTTACACTGATACTCTAACCTCTTTATGGCATAATTATGCACTCATTTTCTCCTGAGCAAATGTCTTCATAATTCCTCAATTAGATCTTATTAGTACATGTCAAAGTCTAATTGGCTGAGGGTTGATCAATTTACCATGAAATTTTCAACTAAAAATCACTCGAAAAAATATATGTAACAACCCATTAATTCCCCATCTAAGGTTTGAAATTTGGGTAGATTATAAATGAAACAAAGAGTAATTATACGCAACTCTAAAGTAGATGTTGCTGTCAAAAGTTCAGAGTTCAAAGAATACTTGTTTTTTAAGATGAAGCCTAATCTTCTTTTTTTTTAGCGTAATAAAAAGTTTATTTTGTGTTCATAGTACATGTTCAGCTAGGGGAAGAATGATGCTCCGCTTTGTTCAGGGACCGAGGCTGACAGGTTGACGCACCTGGAACGCATAGCTTGTTCAGTTGCCCACATCGAGGGAAAAGAGGGCATGGAAAGCTTATAGTAACTACTCTGCCTTGATTAGGCTTGGAAGTTATACAAAGTGCTTCCATTCACATCCCTTATGACTGGAACTGGTCTGATGGCCCCCTTTCTGAAAGGGGGAAGGAAGTATCCTCTTCCTCCTTCCCGGAATGAGAAGACAGCCAACTACCCTTGAGCCCTGGTAACGTGGCCTAGATCTCCCAATCCCACCGACCCAGACATGATTGAAGTCAAGTTCACTATACTCTTTCATACGGCAGCTTCACTTACATGGACTGTAACCGTTTTCTGCCAGGTCTTTTCCTACATGAAGCCCTTGTACTCATGAAAACTAAGGCATACAGTAAACTAGGCAACATGTTCACTAACAATTAATAGATACACAACCAACGACTTTTGATAATCACACTTCTAGGAAAATGCTTTGAGGTACTAAATAAAATGCAGGGCAGAGGGGAATAAAGGGGGGAAAATGGGACAACTGTAATGGCGTAATCAATGTAATACATTAAAAATAAAATAAAATACTTTTGGCAAAATATAATAAATGACTGGCAAATAGTAAGAATGAAAAATAGTTATTAGAAAAGTAGCCTTAATTTAGAACAAAAATCTCCTAATATATACTGCTTTGTGAAGTAACTAGGGTTGTATATCATTGCATTACAGAGAATATGGCATAATACTTAGTGCTAAGAGACAGTGTAATTTTTTTGAGTGAATTTGGCTGTTCATGGGAGTAAATAAGACAACACTATTCAATAAATTATCCAATGTACAGATGCAAAATATATGCACTGATTTTCAAATAAGAGATTTAAAGGCTGACAATAAATAATTTATTCAATAATGATTATACAATAAAAATCATTTTGTAAATCATCACAGATATTTCATTCATTTAATGGTGTTTGTATGGATTATTTCCACATTCAGCTTTGGGAGAATAGCTCTCCCACCACAAAAAGTTACAAACCTGAAAAAATGTGTAAAATTACTCTTTTAAGGGATTAGAAATGAGATGGTACAGGACCCTGATCCATGAGAGAAGATGAACAAATGGGATGAGCCCTGCTGGCTTCCTGGCTTTCCGCCTGGTTCACCATCCAGATCCTGGCACATGGACCAGCATCCCAAACAGAAACAGCAGCATCAATGAGATGGAGACGAACTAGGACCAAAAGCTCCCAAGGAAAAGAATTCATAGGATAGAGCACGGAAAGGGGACAACTGTGCAGAGAAAGAGCTGGGAGAATCTCCAGGGGTTCATTCACAAGTCTCTACAGTTCAGATACCGGATGAATCCCGAGCTGTGTGTTTGACTCACAAGACCGGCTGGGGGGAGTTCTGAAATGAAAAACAACCAGAGGACATCCAGTGCTGAGACTCGGTCCATTTCAGACTAGACAAGATTGAAGCAGACTTGAGCTACCTTAGACATTCACGAGAGATCTCAGAAAAAAAGATTTGAATAATGTAGTCCCCAAATAAGGGCTACTCAGTATACATCTGAACAAAGGTTGACAATTAACCTGAAAAAAAGGTCAATCTGACCCACAAGTAAGTAATTCCTTGCTCAAACAAAACTCAACACTCCGTTAAGGAAGGCTATGAAAGTTTAGAAACTCAACAACATAGCATCCACACTGCCCAGCATAAACACTTTGTAACATACTAGACATTCGAGGAAGCAGGAAAATAAGGCTTATCACCAGAGAAAAGTCAACCAACAGAAATTAACTGAGAATGACAGAGATGACCAAAGTAGTAGATCAGGACCTTAAAACAGAGATTATAAATTAGTGCCATTAATTTAAAGATGATATATAAATATTGAAAAGGCAAATATAAATCCTTAATGGGAAAAAACCCACAAAAAAGAAAAAATGGAAGTTTTTGAACTAAAAATTATATGTGAAATAAAACACCTGCTGAATGAGTTTGACAGCAGATTAGAAGCTGAGAGAAAACTTTAGTTTATGTGAATATAGGGTCATATAAACCTTTCAGATTGAAGCCCAGAGTGGAAAAAAGGCTTAAAAATAAAAAGTCCTCCAGTAACCTATAGGATAGTATTGTCATGCAAATGTGGTACTAAAAGCAGAGAAGGTAGAAATTGGAGAGGAAAAAATACATTTGAAGAAATACTGGTTGAAAAATACAAACCCAGATATGTGACAATTTTACCACACTCCAAGCAAGATAAATAAAAGGAAAACATACCAAGACACACCATAATCAATGGGTAACAACCAATACTAAAGACAAAATCTCAACAGTAAGCAGAGGGCAATGACATCTCAGCAAAAACAATACCAGCTGAACAACAATGGAACAACATATCCAAAGTGATGGAAAAGAAGAAAAAAGGAAGCTGCCAACTGAAAATTCTATATCCAGCCAAAACACCCTTTAACATGAAAGCAACATAATGACTTTTAAGACAAAAACTGAGCACATTGATCATCAGTAGGTATGCACCATAAGAAATGGAAGCTTTTCAGCTCCAAAGACAGTTTACTAGATAGAAACTCACACCTACATGAAAACAACAAATGCTGGAAGTGGTAAACACATTGGTTAGTGTCGGACAGTTGTTCCTTTGTAAATGTCCTTAAAAGGTAACAGAGTGTTTAAAACAAAAGCAGTAACCATAAATTAGAGGTATAGACTTAAAACATAGGACTATGATAGCACAGAAGATAGAAGGCAAGAAAAATAGACACTGTCCTGAGTGTCTTACATCACATTTGGAGTGATGTGTTATTTGATGGTTGTGAGCCCTAGATTGTGGGTCAGCAAACTCTCTCTGCAAATGCTGAGTGTTTTACCTCGGCAGGCCATGCACCCCTGCGACCATGAGTACACTCCGTGACTGTGAGTACACTCTGTGACCGTGAGTACACTCCGTGACCGTGAGTACACCCTGTGACTGTAGCATGAAGACACAGATACACAAAAAGGTAGGCATGTTCCAATAAAACTGGAGAAGTATCGATTCTCCTTTAAGTATCAGTGTGTTCACTTCAAATAACACCCCCTGCAGTGGATGCTGTACCCTTCAGGGCCTCCATTACCACAGGGATGTAGCCCCTCTGTTGTCTAGAGCGCATCCAGAAGATGCTAGCTCACTGTGATGCCTCTGCAGGAATTTCCCGAGTGAAAGAGAAGGTCGTGCACCACCCTGGCGTTATGCAGATGCAGTGACAGTTCGCCCAGGGGTTGCAGAAGGCCAGGCGCCTCCTCCCAACTTGGGAAAACTCTGAAGGGTCCTCCTGATCGCAGAGCTCGCTGCAGAATAGGGGCCTCCATTGCGATTACCGTACGTTGCATCTCAAGTTCTCCCTCTGCCTGTATCCTCTTCACTTCCTCCCCTTCTGTGGGTCCCACCCCCTTAAAGGTCCCCAATCAATTCCTCTGAGCTGTTCTCCATCCCTGGAAGAATACAAATTCCTGGAAGAGCGCATCTGTAATACCTTCTTGAAACCACTGGTGATCTACTCGCTAACAACATGAATTAATTTTCTCTGCTTTCCACTTTGTGTGTTATTTAGATGCTGTGTTTTTTTCCCATTGTAGTATTGGATATTCTCCAAGGTCATGTATCATCCACATGCCTGCCACTCCTAGAATTCTGCACAATTTGGGGGGGGGGCGTAGATAAATTTCTGGGATAACAATATAGACTACCCATGACTGCGTAGTCATGAAGAGATTATAAACATTTTTCCTGTCAGTTGGATATATTGTTCCAAACTTATGAAAAATTCTATAGCTAATTGTGTATATAGTCCTATCTCTGTGTTAATAAAAGCAACAAGATGGTTTGACCATAAAAGTATAAATGAGCAATTATTCCTGCGAGTAGAGAGGAGAAAATACATTCAACTGACTTGAAATTTAGACTAGCTCCCCTAATGAGTCCTGAAAAAAATGTTCCAAACAAGTTTTCTTAAATTACTTATTTTTTTCTTGCCACAGTACAATTTTTCAATAAGAAGGCAGTTACTTCATCCCATTAATCTCGTTACTTTAAAAAACAGAATTTATCCACAACTTTAAGGGAAGCAAAAACCTAAAAAAGTAAAAATATAAGTTAAAACTTACTCCTTAGCAGAAGTACTTCGGAGAGAACAGTGATTAACCCCAAGAGGAGGGCAAAGGTCAGGCTTTCCTGGGCAACGTGGCGGAAAGATCGATGAAAAGTTTCCTGTTTCCCTTTGATCTACCAAGAAATGTAATTTGGCAAAGTTGATTACTTTGTACATTTGGCTCATGAAGTGTATAACCTCTATCAATCCAGGGACTGAGAATGACAACCCTTCCATCACCAAGAGTCAGAAAAATGATAT